ATGGGCCATAGTGACACAGGGGTCTGTTCTCTAGTGGAGGACAGCTCTGGGAGCAGTGGGAGTCAGGCAGTGCTCCCTGGGGCTGGTAAGGTCTTCAGAAGATCTCTCTGGCTCCCAAGATCAGCAAGTTGAAAACAGGGACCAGAGTAGCAGACTTTTAGGACTTTCTGGTTTTGCTGCAGGAATGGACAGGAGAGAGTCCTCTGTCTTGGCCTGAGACCTGAGCGGACAGCAGGTGTGCGGGGCAGTGAGGTCATTGAGGCTCCATCCCATGCCTTTCTAGCTATAACCTCGGACAGGTGCTTTGCTGTTTTCTTGTCTGCAATGGGACGGTTCCATCTTACTGGGTGGCTGTAATGTGCAGGATCTGGGCCTACTCCCCATCATACAACCCCAAATCCTCAGGGCAAGCTACCTCCCCTGCCTGTGCTGCTTTTCCCTCCCTTGCTGCAGCCTCCACATGCTGCTCATCCCAGGGGCACCCGCAGTGGAGCGGGACTCCTGCCCCAGGCACACCTGGTGAGACCACCCACCCTTTCCTGCCCTTCTGCCCACCTTTACCTCCCACCCCCACTCTGGGTGTGCAGCCCAGCCAGCTTCATTCATATTATTTATCCTCAGGGCTCACAGCCCAGAAGTACAATGGAAAGTATTTTGTTCCCATTTTGCAGAAAGGCCTGAGGCCACTGCCGCTGCTGGGTCTGACACCTCTTTGGGAGTTACTGAATGAATGCATGAATGAGGAGTGCTTTCCCTTGCAGCTTTTTTCTTTTGGGGAAGGGTAGACCTTGTTCTCCTGCTTGCTAGGTTGGAATATTGCCTGGAGATTAATTTTTAAATTCCTTGCGTGACTCAGATGACCTGGCTTTAAACCCTGACTTTAGCTCTTCTGTGTGACCTTGAACTAGCCACTTAACCTCTCTGGGCTTCAGACTCCCCATCTGTAGAACGGGAGTCAGTAATAAACTAGAGGGGAAAAAAAATCCCATCTACCTCATAAGGTAAACTAAAAAGCACTCTGAAGTCATATTGTAACAGGGTGGTCCTCAGGAAACAGGGATGTTCCAAGTTCCCTGCCCCACCCAAAGGAGGGTGGAGCTGAGCTGGGAGAAGAATCTGGAAAGAGACCAAAGCAAGCAGGAGGGAGAGCCAGCAGGAGGCCTGAGGAGCCACATGGAGCAGAGACGTGTGAAGAGGCGGCTCTTGCTTCTTGGCCCTGGACTGGCCGAAACAGATGTGGGTGAGAGACCCGTGGGGGCTTCACCACGGCAGCGTTCATCTTGATTTTGCTCTTCTCCTCGCAGACGTGTCTGGCCATTTCTGACCCTTGTCTCTGGGTGCCCGCCCGAGGTGCTTTAGACCTGTGGCGGGCTTTCAGGTCTTGCTCTGGGCCCGTCCCTTTGGGTGGACTTTTACCCACGAGGGATGGGTAACTTCGGGTGCCTGACTTAGAAACTATATTTTTTATGTCTGCTGTATTGCACACTCATTGTATTAAAGTTCCTTTCCATTAAAGGTCTTGTTTTGTCTTGATACAGCGGATGGCAGAACCGCTGTGGGCAAGTTTGGGGGTTCAGGGCACTGAAGAACTATTTCTTAAATAAACAGACTCTCTACTTATAAGTATTATATAAATAAACGTGTACCTTTAAGCGTTAAATAAATAAATCTATTTGCTCTAGGCACTAAAACATACCCACACTTACCAAGGGCCCAGTAATAATCTCATTTATTGATAGTTTTTTACTCTAGCCCTATGAGATAGATGTTCTCATCACCCCCTTTTAATATTTTTAATTTACTATTATTAGTTTACATTTTAAAAGGGCAGTTTTATTGGAAAAGGAGAAGGGCAAAGGAAGACCCCTGCATCCTCACAGGTGGGCAGGGAGAGCTGCCTCGTCTGTAGAACTGTCATTGGGTGTTCATTATGGTTAAGTTACTTGTACAAATCACACAGCAGCACTTGAACTCAGAGTCTGTCGCTATTCCTACCCCTGACCCTGGTGTACCCTCTTAGTCCACATTTTCAGGGGACTTCTGCTCTTTTTATTAAAAAAAAAAAAAAAAAGATTCGTACTTGAAGCAAGGATTACTATCAAACTCCACTCACCTGGCCAGAGCCCCTTAAGGTGATACTGAAAAAGCTGCCCTTTGTGGAACACTACCCACACTTGCGAGTTCATTGTATGTGGAGGGGGGTGGGGTGGGGGTCGTGGGGTGGAGTGGTATGGAGTGGGGTCAAGGGAGTGGGGGGCTTTCCATTCCTGATGAGCAAACACAGTACACAGAGGACAAGCTGTACCAGCTAGCTGACTCTGCTAGGAAGGAGTCTGGGAAGGACAGAGACAGGAAGTAGGGAACGTAAATGCCAAATGGCTGGACTGCAGAAAGGGTTAAGAGGTGTGGGGTGCGAAGGGAGCACCTTCCCGCCGGGAGACTCGGGGAGCTGGGTGGAGCCCCTCGGGAGCGGGGGACGCGAGCGGGCGCTCAGGCGCGCACGCTGCCTACCGCTAGAGGGCGCTTGAGCGCGGTGCCCGAGCCCAGCACTCGGCGTCCGGGCGTCTCGCGGGTGGGAGGGAACCGCCTTCCCGAGGTGCCGCGTTTGTGCCACAGACCACCACGGCCATCGACCACATTTTGTGGAATGAATGCACGAGAAACACTTGTCTTCTCAACCCATCTTTCTTTGAGGGAGGGCTAGACCTTGCCCTCCAACTCTCCAGTTGTAATGCCTGAGGTTAGAAAACAAAATCTTATGGTGAAAGAACACTGAATTGCTATTTCTCAGCAACTTTTGCAGATTACAACGTTTCTTCCTTGGGTTAGGGAATCCCAGTGGATGTTGTTAGGATTGGGTTATGCCTTGGCCTAAAGAATGGTAGAGGATGGGGGGGGG